TAAGAAGTTAATACTTTGCTAAGTAATGTGGCTGATTCTCAAATAGTGTATGTAAAGGGATTGGTTCTCTTGTTGTTAAAAAAGAAAAACAACAAACTGCTTATTTCCCACAAGTAGTCCGTTAAATCATCACATCATTGCTACTGCATTGAGAAGTTTTATTTCCATTATATTTTTGTGTTTGCAGCATTAATGTACTGTAACAAGGGCAGGTTATGATTTTCCTGCATGGAAGGTCAGCAGTGAAGAGGGAAAGAGGCAGTTGCATATTGCTCATTGTGTGAGAACAAAGGTTGGCCTTCAGTGAGTGCTCAAATATTGAAAGACTGTGTTACACAGCACCAGAGAAAACCTCTTCCTTCCCAAGTGAAAAGCAGCCCCTGATAGTTTGAATGTTTTCCTTGAATGAATGCCAGTGACAGTTGCATACTTATGTCTCATTTATGCCTAAAGATTCATCTCTGCACTCTAAATTGTCTTCTCAAATTACTCTACTACCACAAGAGATATTAAACACTGAAGTATTCTGGGCAGTCTTGCAGAAAAGACTCAATCAGAGTGAGGAGCAACATAACATTAATCACAGAAGTCTGTTATTTGAGTCCAGACTTCATTTTGAGTTACAGATTGAAAACTTTATCTTTTATATGACATGCATTTATTTAGCACTCTGGATTGATACAATTTACGTATCTGTACTTTTTCATCATTTCTGCTAATAGCTTTTCACAAACCACTTGGCAGTTGATGCAGTGGTCCAGGCTTGGTGGAACATTTTTAGATTATGGGACAGGACAGAGATTTCCTATTTGGTGTCACTGGACTTGCCATACAGCGATGGCTTGTGAAGCATGATAGCCAAATATTCCTACCTTTAATTTGCTTATACTCAATTCCCCATCCTGCTTTTCTGCTCTGTGCCACCCAATTATTTTGTGCGGTTTATACAGCTTGTGTTTCCAAGTCTTTGCCCAGTGTACTCCCTGGTGCACTGTCTCATGTCATTCAAAAAAATGTTTTTTCTCCCCAGTAAAAATAACCTTTCTCCATTTCATTACTCCCCCTCCCCCTTTTGTTTTTTAAGTTTTAGCACGTAGGGAAAAAATACTCAATTTTAAAATGAAATTTCAAATAATGACAATCTATGCAACCTCAGATCCAATGTCATTTGTTCATTGAAGAAAATGACTAGTAATGAATTTTTATACAGAGATTCATTGTCTCCTTCAGTATTTTGACACTACTGAGCAGTTCAGTATACAAAATTCCAGGAAATACTTTTAAAAGATGTAAATCAAGCATTGTAACCCAAGACAAAAGGCGATGAGAAATCGCTAAGCAGGTCTCGGTGCTCCCTTGTCTTTCAAGCTATTTAGTAATATTAATATAAAAATAATCACACTACACAGCTTGGTAGTGGATTGGTCATTATTTTAATAAATTTGAAATAATTTTGTTTCATATGATAGACAGCGGGACTTCTGGGTAAGCAAAATATTTCTAGTGTAAAAATTAGTGGTTTCCAATATGAAAAATAAAGTGTCATTTTCCTTTGTTTATTTAGACAGAAAAAGACAGTAATCCTTTGAGGACAGAAAAGAAGAACGAAGGTTTTTTTAGATCTGTTAAGTGCTTGATTTAAGATGCCAGAGGGTGGGGGGGGAAGTCTCAAACCACACCACTAATGAACTGAGAATAAATGAGATTAAAAAAAAAACTGTATAGGAAAAAATATTCAGATCTTGGTTGAAGTAGAGAAAGGATGAAGAATGGGAAATCTGTAGCTTTTTGACTCCCATCACCTTACATAACAAATACGTAAAGAACTTTAAAAAACAATGTACTCCAGAACCAGTAGATAATTACCATGTTTTAAATTCAAAATAGTTGAGATACCAACAAAAGGAAGTTGAGGACAAAACTCTCAGCTGGGCCACTGAAACTTCTGAATGGCCAAAATCTCTCTGTAGTGTCTGGTGTTTGCATTCCAGGCTGTCTGTCTCTTGTATGCTGGAAGCAGTGAATGATCCCTGCCTTGGGAACTCATGGCAAAGCAACTTTCAAGCAGGCCAATGCCCTGTCACATCTTCTGGGCTGAATCCACCCATGGTCCTGAGCTGACAGGTGGTTCTGAGCAGCTTATGGGTGATTTAACTGCTGTGTGCAAAATGCAGCCTACAAGTTGATGTTACTTGGATACGCAGCAATTAATAACCAACAGCCACTGCTGTTACCCTTGCCTATGTCATTATTCTTTTTCTGATTGATTTCCAATGAAATTGATTAAAGTACTTCCATGTAGAGGATATAGTTGCTGTGAAGTAAAGGGATAATAAAATTTGCCTTTTATTTGTCAGGAAACAGTATCAGAAGAAATGTATGATTACCAGGAGGAGGTCATCCCCACTCACCCAAAACCCATCATCATAGTTTTTGAATGTGTTTTAAGATTTTCTGTTGCTCTCTAGAAACATACTGCCATGTTCAGGGCTTCTGTTCCCATTAAAATCAACAGCAAAATTGCCAGTGACTGATGGAAAAAGCCTGTTAAAAATGTTTCAAAAGCATCGTTTTCATTTTGGGAAATTCAATTTCTTGGCCAAAAATTAGATTTCTAATTGTTTGCTTCAATCATAGTTACAGAGAGACTGGCATCTCTTTATGTCAGTTCCACTAGATTTATTCCTTCTAACATGCTCTAAAAAAGATCTATTGCTCAAATTTTAAGCAAAAATTGGAAGATAGACCCTTAGCAATATAGAAAGAGTCCAAATTCAGTGTTCAAGAACAATAAGAAAGAGCTCTGTTCTAAGTTTTGCTAATTTGCATAATTTTTTTTTGCTGCACTTACAAATCATGTTTTCTCAAATATTCCAGTTGTCTTTTTTTGATTTTTAACCCTGAACTGCACTGTTTCTTAATCAGAAATTTCTATGTATAAGTAATAGTGGTTTAGTAGTGAAGCTATTTTTGCTGTGAAATAGGGTAAGAAGAAATGTTTGCTTCTTTTCTTGTGAAGGGGGGTGGTTTAGTATTTTTGGTGGCTTTTTTTGTTTTGTTGTGGTCACAAGTCAGTGTGGTTTGAACAAGTTGCTGGTTAGGTTCAGCTCTTAGTGCTTGGAGAGCACAACAGAACCATTGTGGAGCTTGGCTCAGGTGTAAGCCACTACTTTTATTTAATACCTTTCAAAAGAAAAAGTCCATACTTGACAGAATCCCAAACTTGGCAGCTATTTACAGAACAGTTTTTCTTGTGCACTTCTTGCTAGCATTGTGGTTGATTCTTACAACAGCATTTACTGCTTCAAGAGCCTTCAGAACACACTTGAAGTGCTAGACCACTGTCCTTCTGTGCTATTACTAAATATAAATTTTTCCACTTGAGTCAACTGAGTGAAGATCAGATGTTTTAAAAAGGGTTTGATTTTTATTTGCCTGAAGGCTACTCTGCTAAAAAAAAATTCAATGACCTCATAGTGAGGTGAATGTGACTTTAGATTTCCTATTAAATACCTCAAGTGTTCTGCCCAGCTCTGTGAACTAGGATTATATTTTTGTTCTAATTTTTGTAATTTCATTTTTGATTTAAATGAAAGTTGCATAGACCTTGAGATATCCCTGTTGGTACACCTCTTTGACTGAAATTTCCCCAATGCATTAGTAGGATATGAAAATGCTGTTAAACTAGACCAGCAGTCCCTTGGTATGCTAGGATAAAAGGAAAAGCCTTTCTTTGGATTCATCTTCATTAGGTTTTCTCTCTGAAGTTCTGAAACAAATGTGCTGTGTGTCTTGTTTCTTTCTTCCTGCAACCTCTAGTCTTGTAGCTGGCGTTGGCAGCTCCAGCATAACCAATCTTCTTAGGCTTCTTGTAGCAAGAACTTGTCACCCTGGAAAGAACACAGAATTCACCAAGATGTTCAGGGAATGTGGGCAGCCTTTGCTGTGGGAACAGCCATGTCCTCCCACTCATGTCATCACTGGGATGCTGTGTGGCCTCTGTGGATAATATGTGGGTTTGTAATTCTATGGGAGACTCCTTGATGGAGATTGAAACTCATTCATATGATATGGATGATATTCATACTTGCAAAAGTACTGGTAGCGAATAAACTGAAGTCATTCTACTCTCCCTTAGTACAGCAAACAGAAAAGGTTTTGAGTAATCACAGATCTTTGCTCCAGCAGGAGCATTTTTCTTAGGGTGCAGTATTCAGAAGCTGGTGGCAGTATGTAAATCATTATTTAGCTGCCTCTGTGTGGGTATCTGGGCTCAGGATGATATTCTTCCATGGTTCTCTCTTATGTCTGGAGAAGCTAGAGCTTTGTCTTCAATATGACATAATTTTTTTGAGTGTGCAGTGATGTCTGAGTGTTAATGTATGTTTGTCCTGATCTGATTTAACATGGTGCAGGGCAGCACCTTTCTCCACACCATCTGCAGCTAGCTGTGCTGTGCTGACCTTTGGTGTGCTGTCAGCACAGTGAATGTGGAAGGGCACTATTTCAAAATTAGGAGGGCAGTGGAGAAGATATGTCATCTGCCTGAAGCTAGCATCTCTTTCAGGGACACAGTTTTATCCAAGGTTAATGGAAGATCAGACTCTGTATCAGTCAGCTGAAGCAAGATCACAGTGATCTGTTAAACGTGGAGAAGGCTAGCTCCATTCCTGAACTGTCATGGTGTACTTGCAGCATTTTGATAGGGTTTGACAGGAAGTGTTTGACTATTTATTGACACAAATATCCTCTGTGCTGCTCTAAGTATCTGTTTTTCTCTTTCTGGGTGGAAATGAAAGCTTTGGGTGGAGAGAAGTGAGAGGTTTCCTGCTATTTGTAAAGCAGTGGTGTACCCAGCAGCGGCTGAGTAAACAGGGAAGGGAACACCCCTGTGCTGGGGTGGGTGAGCCTGGCCACAGCCAAAGGACCCCCAGCTACACACTCCCCCTGCCTCAGTGAAGCCTTTGATCCTGCAGGTGAGGGCACAACTTGGAGAGAGGCACCTGCTTTTTAAAATACTTGCAGAGTTCTTGATCAAACTGCAGGATTTTTACAAGGTACTGATTATAATGGGATGTTCAGTGGTATCTGTGCTATAGGGCAGGGAAGTCCTGAGGAGTTACTTGATTATGTCATGATGTTATGCAGGATAATACCCCCTTATCAAGGGCTTGTAAACTTTGCCTGAGAATTGCTGTAAATTACTTAAGCCTTTCCTTAGGGTTTTTTTAAATAATACCACTTTAACCACTTCTGGTTGTTATTTTTAAATAATACCACTTCTGCATTCTCTTCTGCGAGAATGCAGAACAATGCATTTGTATTTGTGCTGGGTAGTTGTTGGGAAGGGGAGTAAAAGACTGAGAGATGTGTTGGATTAAATAGTTAACAGATTTCTTTGCTGCAGAGCTACTTTGGAGCGAGGGTAAATTCATCCACTCCTTCTCTCCCATTTTTCGTTATTAAGGTGGAGTTCAGCTGAGACTGTCTTTGGCTGTCCATAAACTGTGAAACAGAAGGATGCAGAAGACTATCCCCTGCATTTTTGTCCATGAGTGATAAGAGCACAAGATCATTAATACAAGACTGCTGCAAAGATGAGTTCAGAGGAGAAGAGTATATCTCCAGCTCACAAAACATCCACTCCATCACATAGAAGTGCCTCCTCCTCATCATCGTCTCAGAGAGACAGGAGGCAGGTAAGGAAATACTCCAGTTGTGATACCATCTGGTGGGATGATAGATTTATTCCTGTAATGTGGCTGTTTTTGTCAGCTCTAGATTTGCTTGCTTATGACATTGGATGATAGCACTACAGCCAACAATTGTTGGGTTTTTGAATTTACTTTTCCCATTTCCTAACATGGCTTGAAAAAGATTTAGAAGCAGCATGGGCACTAGTGTACAGCATTGGAACAGGACAAGTAGAAAACATGCTCTGTAGTCTTTTGGGAAGTGATTTCTTTGGCATCATGAGCCTACAGTTGCTTGAAGTCGTTCTGTGTCATCTGTGAATATCTCTTTTTGTAAATCCAACAACAGCAATACGTTATTGTTTTAGAAAGTGGTAATTCAGTTTAAATACCATATTGTTCATCCTTTCTGTAAGCACCTAACATTTTAAATATTATTTGTTTCACTACAAATTAACACTGATTGTACTACCTCATAGAGTACTAATCCAGTTATGTTAAACTTCCATTTTTAAGAGACTCTTGTTTGTGTTGATACAATTCTCCAGGATCTCTTTGAGATAAAGACTGTATTAATTCCCCTCATGACCTGAGCTTTCCTGTGGGGTTTTTTTGGGGGCTGGGTGTACAGTGTGGCCATGTGATCGGTGGGAGCACTTCAGAAAATATCAGAACTGTCTATTTGATTTCAGATAAGTTCTTACAACATGTATTTTACAAATGCAAAGGTTGATACAGAAAAATTGGTTTAGAACAGAAACATATTTTAAAAGTGTGATCCATGCAAGAGGCAAATAATTTTTAAAAATTCAAATAAAAATCATTGGCTTAGGAATATTTTCCCAGCTACTTGTTTGGCAGCTCTGATACTATTTTCCCAGCTGCTGCTGAGGAAGTTTCTTCCCTTACCTCTTAAGAAAATTTTGAAACTCAAGAGTTTTTAATGAAAAACTGTAAAATTTACAGGTTTGAATGTAAATAGTCTCACCACAAGGTACTTTTTAAATGTTAAATCAGGAGAAGAATTCTGATGTATGCTCAATAACAGGCAGGAAATGTGTGTGCAATTTTTTAATAATTTCCATTGCTTAAGTAGGTTCAAAAAGTATTTTCTCACAGGTGATAAATATTTTCCCATTCACAGTGTAGAGGACTTTGGATAGCTGTAGTTAGTTAATTAAGTCTTGGTTAGGATATAACCTTTTAATTTTTCATTATTTCCATCTGAAGCAAGAATTTTGATATGATTTGTTTAAAGCATCTGTGTATTTTATCTCCCATATTTAAGCCCAAAGAAGGTAAATGCAAGACTAGCAGGAGCTGCTGGTCTCAGCTAAGAGCATATTCTCTGAGCCTTCTTTGTAATTAGTTTGACACAACCATGCAACTAGGAAGAAAAAAGAAGCCAAACCAAAAATCTCTTGTGAATACATTTTACCATAAATCTGATGGCTACCACATCTGTTACCATAGCAACAGTACAGAGCAAGGTATACCTGTCATCATAATGAAATGGATGCTTAACTTTAAGTCCATATTTGATCACGGACAACTGAAGCATGATTTTAAAATCATGCTGTAAGTGTTGATGGTGTGATGCATCCAGAGGATCCCATAAAGTGTGATGCTGCTTAATGAGTACTTAGGCATGTAAATGGGGGCTGGAAGGGCTACTCTGAGGCATTTGTTTTTTTGCCTCAGTTCTCTCAGTGTTAAAGCAGGAGAATGAATGGGTGAGCAATTTCTTCTGCAGAAAGAAACGGAGCTGCAGCATGCAATGCAGCATGGACTGCAGTGGTGCTGTACCCAGGGAAAGGAGCATGCACACTTCCTCTCTGCATGTAGACACAGTGAAACATCCATTTCATCCCACCATCCACTGTAACAACTGTCTTTCAAACAAATTTCTTTCCTTAGTTAGTATTGTTTTTATATATGTTGGTTTATATATATATTGGTTTTCATTGCCCGTTTTCCCAAACACAGTGATAACTAGGGGGTAGGGGATTTTGGTTCAGGGGCCATTGGATTTTACTTTGAAAAGCTTTAAAACTTTATCTTGCTGCCTCCTTGGACTCTTCAGAGCAGCTAGTGGAAAAGCACTAAACTGGTAATATAAATGAATATGGAAAATAATGTGACTGGATGAAGTGCCAATGTAGCTTTTATTGTCATATGTGAGGATTACACTGGATATTTCAGGATGGTTAATGATTGAAACCTTCTCATCATATAATTCTTGTCAAAGTCAGACCAGCAATTAAGGAACAGTTTCCCAATAAATTATGGTACAGGAGGCTGAATGAGTATGAACATGACTATGGTAAATCATTTTAGGGAGAGTGGAAAGTGTCGTGCTGTATATAATGTTGGCATTTTAATGTGTCTGTTTTATTTGTACAATATACATCACCTAAGAGAATTAGCAGTCAGCAAAAGCTTTGACATTGCCAATTTGCAGGCTCCATGACTAATAATTAAGCCAACAATAACAAAAAAAAAAACTGATTTCAGATTTTTCTTATTCATTTTCATTAAAGGGTGTTTAATTTGGATGATTAGACAGTAGAAGACCCAGAAAGGACCCGTTTTGTTTAACCCCTGAGTTGGACAGGGTGGCAAGGCAGTTGTGATACCCTTAATAAGGAGTACTTCAGAAGGGAGAAGCAACAGTTTTTCCTAGTGTGGAACTGTTGCAGAGCATGAAACCTGTCACTTCCACTGTGAATAAGAGTCATCGTACAAAAGGTAGCATAAAAAGTTAAATTCTGATAGCCTTTTTTGTGGGCCATACTGACAAGGCAGATTCTTGTGTTTCATCCCTGAGGAAACTGTGAAAACTCTGGCTGTATATATTGCTGCACAGCAACATGGAGGAAAACTAACAACTCTTAGATGTACAGCTGAATATGATAAAATCATATGTTGTATATTCAGTTTTATAGGTGTAAGTTCTTTATGAATGTTCTATATTTTATTTATTGACCAAGTATGTAGCTCATGAGGCAGACTGTAATACATTATATATTCTCTGCAATGTGTGGGTTGAAATATTTTGCTGAGAAGAAAGAAGTAAATACATCATGGGGTTAATAATGTGCAGTTTGGCAAATTGGAGCCTGACCTCAGGCTACTAAACTGAGGGAGTGATACAGAATGAGAGGAATCATATTGAAACTGTGAACAAAGGGGAGGTTTTGACTTTTCTGGCCATCACCTAAAGGCTAGCTAATACATAATGTAAAAATGGATATAGCAATGTTTTCTATTTTAAGTGTGAGTTCTCTTCTAATGTCTTAATTTTCCTTTTGGCCTTTTATGGGGGAGATCAGCATTCTCTCACTCTTTTTGTGTTTTTCTTTACCATTTTGCTTTTTCAACAAATCCTTGGTTCTTTTCCTACACAGAAATCTCAAAAGAAGAAAAGCTTTTAGTCCTATTACATTTAGCCTTGTGTTGTCACCTCTCTACCTGGAGAGCTTTCATATTTCAAACAACTGTTGTCTTTTAGCCATATGTAAAGACTGAAAGGTGGGGGCTTTGAAGGAAAAGGAAAAAAGATTTTCCAGAGCAGAGTTCTGCTTTTCAGGTTTTAATATGGCTTGTTGTTTGTTTTAGGTTGAGGGGTTTTTTTCCCTTCTGCACAAGCAGTATTGACTAATAGCAGGGGTGTACACAAGGGATTCACAAAGGACTGAGTTCGGGCTGAAAATGTTTATCTGGCCATGAAATTTAAAAGCAGAGCGTGATTCCAAGGCTCTGGTCTTGTTTAAAGGTCTGCACTGGAAAATGCCCACTTAGCTTTTTGCAATCACTGTGTTTTAATTGTCAAAGTGGTCTCCTGAAAGTGGCATTTCCTAAGGTGGGTATCAGCATTTTGGAGATGCTTATGGACAGTGCTGCTCATACAAGATTGCAATGTGACATAACCTGATGTATTCCATGTGGAAGAGACGTCTGAGCACATTTATATACCTTTGTATTCTGAAAGTGGGTAGCAGCCTGCATGCTTGCTCATGGCTGTCAGCCTGATGTGACATCTGGGAAAAATATTCTTGTTGGTTACCTGTAATTTCCACTTGTTCCTGTCTCTCTGTGACTTCAAAAAAAGAAAGGCAAGGAAGGACAGTCTGGTAGACATAGTACAGACCTAAGAATGTGCAGCAATACTCCTAGCTTTGCTCTGTAGCAAAGCATAGACTTTGAGAAGCCTTTTTATTTTGCAGTAGTTTGTGAGGATTATTTTAATAATAATTATTAATCTTTCTGAGAGTTTCAAACTAAAGAGGCTACTAAATGCCAAGTGCTGTTGTTATAGTGATGTAATTCTCTTTTGCTCGCTTTCCTAATTAACTCTCTTTGCATAAAACTACTGAAGCAGGATTAGAGCAGGAAGTGTTGAGTACTTTAAAGTCAACGACTCACTGGAGCAAGCAAATGTTCTGAGGGAGCCAAAGAATGAAATAGCAAAATTCTTAACAAAAACATGCAATTATTCTTTAAATTGATTAGTTGCTGCTACTCTACAACATTTTTTTTCCTGTGCCCATGGTAGAGTATGAAAATTTTCCTTAGGTTTGGAAGGTAGTGGGTCTTACTTCAGTGCCTGACAAAATGTCTGAAGCAGTGTAACTTTTCAAGCTGTAGAATATTCATGTGAATGTTGGGTTAGGTTCAATGTCATAGCACCTTTTAAAAATGAAATCACAAATTTCAGACCGGTAAGATTTTTATCATTTCAGTGATAAGATTGGTGAGTGAACTAGACTCTACATACAATCAGAAACTGGCTGAACTTACAAAGTGAAGCTCTCTGGAGTACAGGTTTGTCTGGGGATGGGATAGGAACCCCTGCAAGTGAGAGTGGGAGGGAATAGGTACAGGTTGATCCCAGGGGGGAGGCAGACCCCCAAGTACTGATGCTGATGCGTGCATTGAAGGTACGAGACTTTCTGCAGTGCTGGGAATCCTTGTGGGAAGGCTGCTGGCATGCAGTGGCAGAGCAC